GGGCAGTTATGAGCTATGACTGCCATCTGCAGACAGGCGTGTGGAACTATCATAAAGCAGGTTTAATTCAAAATGTAAAATAAGCTGACATGAGCAAAAGGAATCAATGTCGCTTATAAATACGGTGTTTTAACAAAGCTGATTACGTAGCTTAGCAATCATGTTTATTGAGGTTGTTTAGGAAGCGTGTCCGGGCATGCGCGCTATTTTGGGTGGGCCGTCTGCGTGTTGCGCCCGGCCGTTTCAGAGCCAATCACATTTCAGACAAACATAATATTGCGTCACTGTTATTGTGGTAGTTGCAACTGTAGCTGCTCGCACAGATTTTGCCACCATTTCGCTGACATTTAGGCCCCTAAAACTGCGTAAACGAGAGGACCCGCAAGACTAAATCGGTACAATGTCACGCCAAAAGGACGTTTCATCGGACGAGAGTTTGCAAGGTAAAGTATAAACAACCAACAACCTTGTAAAACACGAGGTAACTAACGTTAAATCAGCTAACATAGCCTGAGCTGAACAGACGAGGTATACATCTAATTAGCTAGATTAAAGCTTAACGTTACATTATTTTGTCGATCTATTATAAGAGGACACCCATCGGTCTAGTTAGTTAATAGGCTTGTTTGCAATGATGCCAAATCAAAATGCCTTCAAGCCGAGGACAGTCCTTATCTGTTGTTCTACTGTACATATAGCCTGCGGCAGTCCCAGCCTATATAGGCCAGTGATACCACTACTGAATAGGCTACCCAGATTTCATTCACATATTTCATGTATTAAAATCATCTGATATAAGGTTCCTGGGTTGAGCTGCATTTCAGTGGCACTGGATCCCAAAGCACCAGTCACCATGGAAGTCAGGAGCAAATCCCCACGTCCATCCAGGAGGTTGACATGGAGAAAATGCTGCTAGATGCACAGCACGAGTCAGGCAGAAGCAGCTCCAGAGGAAGCTCTCAGTGTAACAGGTTTGGGGGAGGGTTGGAAAAAGGGAATCACAGTTTGTGTTTTTCATATGTGTTGTTTAATACAGCTTGTCAAGAAGTGTTATTCCAAACGTGTGTCTTAAGTGACCAACATTTCCCTTATGTGTTGTTGGTTTCTTCACTTCTTCACAACAGCCCACTAAGAGCACAGACCCCCCTTCTTATGTGGAGAGGCTCAGAGGGAAACAGCTCGCAGGTATTTTTTGGAACCACAAAATCATACCTGTAAAGTTATAAAATGTATCAAAGTCTAATAATAGTGTAGTTTTATTAAATAATTCATAGGATGTTGTACAGTATAACGTTATTTTTAGAAATCACTGATGGCCAAGTTGTTGCAGGATGTGTTCCGACAGCACTTGATTATCCACAATTGGTGTTTTTAGTCAGATGAAGATTTCCAAGAAAGAAGACGGGAAGTAGAGAACCTGATGAAGAAAAATGCTGACTGGATCTGGGACTGGTCTAGTCGACCTGAGAACAATCCACCAAAGTATGTTGCCACCACTAATGGTGTAACTTAGTATTTTTGGTATGAAGTTTCTTTGTAATTTCAGTATACATGTACACACGGGTGACTAATAAACCAACATGAGATGTTTTAGCATGGAGTCAGGCCACTACAAGCCTCATGAACTCTGTTAATTAGAGGGATGAACACCAGTACTCTACGAGATATTCCCTCAATTATATGTACCACCTTTATTTAATCAGGTAATCTCATTGAGCTTAAGCTCTGTTTTGCAAGAGTGACCTTAGTACAACAGATAGAAAGGAAAAAACAAACATAGCCAGACATAACAAAAGGTCAAATAGCATCAGAGACAGTCACAGACATCACTAAATAGATTTGAAGACGAAAGTTTATGTTATATTATTTGATTTTACAGAGCATTGTCTCACACGTTGGTCTAAAATCTTGCATACATGTGAAACTGGGTTGAGATTTGGTGACTGTAAAGGACCTAGCATTTTACTCACATCGTTTTCATAGTTACCAAACCATTCAGAGAGCCCTGGTGCACGGAAGCATCTGCATTTTATATGTTTCTCCAATCTTTTATTCAGGTCTTTTCTTCAATTTGTCCCTCATCTGTTTTAGCCCAAGTATATTTATTTTATTTTTTATGACATGATTTGTAATTGTAATTCATAGAGTGAAAGAACAATGATGTCTGTGTGAGCAGAGGTGTCAGTATGACATTAGACCAGCAGTCATTGATTTTAATGTATTCAAAACAGTGAAAAATTAATGTGCTCCTCTGTAGGGAGTTCCTGCTGAAGTACCCTAAGCGCTCGACCTCTCTCAGCATTAGGAACACCAGCGTCATGAAGAAGGGAGGCGTTCTCTCTGCTGACTTTCTGAAGCTTTTCCTTCCATCATTAATCATTTCTCACATACTTGCTGTTGGCCTTGGGTAAGCAACATCATTTAATCTCTAACTCTGGCAATATTACATTCTCTTAAAAACTAAAAAAATACATAGGTACCTTTTAGAGACGATTGCAGAGGAATCTTTAAAGAACAATTTAAACCCCTGACCACATAAAATTGATGTATATTCACTTAAATAATGGAATAATTTGCTATACCGATTAAACATTTATTTGGCATTTTTCAAATAATCCTACGTACAAATATATGGTTTCGTACTGTTTAGAAAAACTGATGCAAACATTCATTTTAATTGCTCCAACATTACATTAATGATTTGGTGGTTGTCTAGTATTATGGTGCGTTCCATTTACCTCGGAAGTCGGAGGTCGGAGCTGGGAATGACGTCACACCCGAGTTTATTTTATTTTTTTTAATTTTATTTTTTTTAATTATTGTATTTTACTAATTTTATATAAATTTTTCATGCTCTTATCTTGTTTCTTTTTGTATTATTCTTTACACTTGTTAAAGCACTTTGTAACTTGTTTTTGAAAAGTGTTCTACAAATAAGGATTATTATTATTATTATTATTATTATTTATTTTAGTTATTTATTTGTTTATTTGAAAAGGGACAATGTACACATTCAAAAAACAAAACACTGTAGACACGCTAAACACTGTAGCAACACGTACGAAAATGTACACAGAAGTGCTATCAAACAGTATAAACCACCGCTTTAACTATTGATACTCAGCAGATTACAAAGTTGGGTTAGTGCGGTTCTTCCGACTTAAGGGGGCGTTCCCTTTGAAATATATTCTTTGTCTTTATAATTGCTATCTTTATATTAACATTCAACAGCTGTTTCATGTGTAGGTTGGCGTCATTTCCCATTTCACGTGTGTTTTTTTGACAAAACCTGCTTTGGAGAACCAGCATCGGGTGACACAGTCGTTGTCAGTTTTTGAGAGTGTGTGGTAGGTTAGGTTAATTACCAATACCACTTGGGTTTTTTTTCTAGTGAAATCTGGTGATAAAGTAGAGGATCAAGTCTAAGCTTCAGTGTTTTGTACTTTTTGTAACATCTATTTCTGGAGAATTCTTTTTGCATATCTTGCACTCAGCACCATCTTATATTACATTGTTTGTCTCTCTCCTTTTAGGATATATATTGGGAAGCGACTGACCTCCCACAACACCTACTAAGTAGGATGGCGGTGTTGCAACACCTTTGTCACCTTGATGTGACCATCTTGGCATGCCTTAAAATTGGACCTTCTGAATATCAAGGAAGATGTGGCCATGTGACACTGTCCAATTTGTTTGAGTGCACCACGCCACCCCCCCCCGCATGGAGAGTTGAGGATGTGTCATTGCTGTTTCATGGTGTATTCTCCTCATCACAACAGTGACCAATCCTCTGCTCCTTGCTGTTGCCCCTTGTTGTGGCCTGGAGATGACTGTTTGGCTGTTTCCTGCTCCTTAAATCTGCACGTTACAGAACTGATACATATTGTACGTCATTGCCTTTTTCTTTTTGCAATGAGAAATCACTATTGATTTTAAATGATATACTGTCAAGTGATTTTTATTTTTAGACCAGCTGTGGATAAAGAAAATAGTTTGGGCTTGTAATTTTATTTGACCTTTTGTCCAAGGGATCATTAGCTTAGCGTTTCACTGATTGCCTCCATTGCAGATTGCTTAATTTGTGGAAATGTAATTGTTATTGAAAGAAAATCAACTGAAATGGTCCAATTTATTCATCCTACTCAAAATAAAAGTTGGGTATACACACATGGTGTATTTACAAACCGGTTAATATGTGGAAACATGAAGCAAACTGTTTTTTCAAATGAAAGTACCACATGCAGATGAACACAATTAAAATTTTATTGAACTTTGGTCAAAATAATAAACAAGTGAATACATTGCCACCATGTTAGGAATCAATGGACAAAGACAATGCATTGTTATGTTTGTTTTAATGTCATCAGTATATGTTTTGTGTAGTCAACCTTCGTTTTCTGCATTCACAACTACGGAGATAAGATCCACATTTGCAATACGCGGTTCAAATTTGGGTGACATCCCTATTAAGTGAATAAGGGCACATGTATGAGGCCGGTCTGAATATTCCTACATTAGTACACGATTCGGAGGCACTCTTTCACAAACCGTATGGTGTGCAATTTTCCTCCTCTGTATTTTCAAAGACAGCCACATATAGCAGCAGTATATGAGGACATAACTCTATAAAATAGGATTTACAAATAATGCACATGAGGTTTGTAAAACGTTTGGGGACATAACTTGTAGCTGTCACTGATAGAAGTAGGTATTAAGGCTGCAGATTCCCTTTGTCCTGGGCCCCATCTTGTGCCGTGTAGTTTCCAGCCTGCATCCTAAAACATGATCAAAAACTAGAAACGAATCTCTTGACACAAACGCATTATCAGTTTGTCCCCACCGGTGGTTCTGAAACTAGTAGCCCCAAATAGTATTTCCATAAGAAGTTTGCTTGAGATCTGCTCAAAGACAGTGGTGTGACTGGACACCTCTCTACAACATAAAAACATGCAAAGCAATAAACATGTTTTAATACATACTTTTAAATTTAAAAACACATCTGTAGTTTTAGTTTCTTTTATTATGTGGATGACAAGGTGTACTTGAGTAGATACAGTCAGTGAAATTATGTCACCGTATTGACTGGGGTAAAGAAAGAAGAGGGAGGGGGAGAAAAGAAACGGGTCCACTTTCCAAATTCATGGCCTCTTCCACCAGTAGCTTGGCCTGAATACATGGCCAATGGGGGAATGTTACAGTTAGGCTTATTGACCATTAATCCGTGCTTCAGAGGGCCCAAAATCTTTGAGATGATGTTACAACTTTTGACAAGACGTCATTTTAAGGGCTTCCAAGAGTTCTGTCGTTAAATCATGAAATGAAGGCTTAAAATGTCAACACAAACACCAACGTTCAAGAGTTTGACCTCTAGGGAGTGCCATTCCTTTTAGACCCGAATTGGGCTTTCTGTGTCGGGAGGGGGGAGGGTGGGCATGTTGATTGCCCTGGTGCCAAAGGCAAAAACAACCTAAGCTCAGACTCAAAATAAAACAGGCCTATAGATCAACCTCCTGTGGCAAAAAAAGTAGACACGTGCTTTCGAATTCTTCACCAGGAGGACAACGAGGCTGTTTCTTCTTATACAGATAGACAAGTAGTAGGCTTAACTACACAGGTACGGTAAAAGCCCTATCTTCTGGAGCCCCAAATCTTCTAGTTGATTTTGTCCTGGAAAATGTACAAGTTGTTGGTGGCTGCCACAGCTATCACGTTATCTTTGGGGTGCCAGGCAGTGTGGAGGATCTTCTTGTTGAAGTCCAGGCTGTCCACGCTAATCTCATCCTTCTTCCTCTTGCCGCCGGTCGACACTTTGCGTGGTTTGAGCGTGGCCCGCGGTTTGCTGCTCTCCCGGGACGCCTCCAGTGTGATGTCCCGCCTGGTGTTGCGGTCAAACATTCGGAAGAAGTTGTTGTAGGAGCCGGTCATGATGGCACTGATGGAGAGAGAACGCGTTAATTGTTTGTTTACATTAACTTGAGTAAAATCACCCACAATGTCAACAGATATATTGCATCTATAATTTAGGAACATAAAACAATAAAATACACTCACTAAAATACACTGACCACAGGCTGGTAGCAGGTGAAATGCTATTCTATACAAGACAAGGACACTTACCTGTCACTGCCATTCCAGCAGCACTCAAACTTGTCAAAGATGCAGTCGTTTTCATACAAGGAGCAGAGTTTACTGCGAAGGTATTCATGGACCTGAAACAAAACACATCACCTAAATATTCACACAAGCATAATGTCTTTATCTGTATGGCTATAATTAAGTGTTAAAAAGACTCATCTGGCTAACACGAAGCAATCATTTTTAAAATGCTGTAGTGCTTATATTGTTCTCACACAGGGTTAATGCCAGTTATATTTGAAGTCACTAAAAAAGGTACGTTTATGCACCTGATACGTCTCCACTGGCCTGTTCTCCATGTTGAGGTCCCAAACTTTGACGGAGAGGTAGTCACGTGTCATCATATAGCGTCCGCTGTGACTGAACTTCACGTCCGAGATGGAGGAGATGATCTCAGAGAAGAAGGACCGGCTGCTTGGATCCTCAGGCTCCTCAAAGACTGAAAGATAAAAGGAAGAAAAATCCTCACAACTCCTATTTCTAAAAACATTTCCAGCATGGAGTTAGACTCCAATAACTCTGAATAATAACAAAAAAAAAATCTTTATTGGTATTTTACCAAGTGAAGCAACACATCTACCTTTACTTAAATTATTAAATCGTTTTAATTTAATCAAATAATCATATACAATCTAGAACGTATGAGATAATGAATACCAATCACAATTTACCAGATCCAAAAGTAATGTCTTCAGTTTTGTTCTGTCTGACCAAAAGTTAAAAAAAACCCTAAATGTTATCAATTTATTTATTTATACACACAAAATGGAGATAGCAGGAAATCAAAATATTAGACAAAATGTAAATAAACTATATAATATAATAAACTGATTTTCCACTCATAGAATAACTAATTGACTAAACATTGCAGCACTACAGTGGAGGTACTTACACTTTGAGTGCCTGTCGCAGAGTGCCGCCGCTCGCATGTCACACAGGCGGATGGTGCCTTTGCTACTGCTGTACACAAATACATTGCATTGGTGTGGATGGCACTCAGCAGCTGTGATTACTTCCGTCAGTTCCTCCATGTTGGCGGGCTTGATGTCTACAATATCTGGGAACACACTGTTAAGGAACTAGCAGTCTTGTATTTCATTGTGATACAGTGTAGAGACTATTGGTCCAAAAGACACACATCTAAAAGCTGTTTTCTGATGAAGAAAAAGGATACTAAAACTTCTGTCTGTGATTTCCATGTGCCATAGATTTATTCTTAGGTCATCTGCGGAGAGGTACGTTTCATGATCACTATTTACAGAAATGGAATTAATGTGATAGGTGTGCGCATTTGCAAAGATCCTCCGTGGACTTGCTTCTACCATGAGATCCATTGGCATCAGTACTGGTACCTGAAAGATACCACATGCAGATTTAAAGTTTTTATGAAAACCATAAAAAAAACAAACAACAACCTTGTTTGAATATGACACAGGTCTGACGTCTGATTAAACATACCCGTAAAGAGGTGATTCTAAAGGGGTCTCTGAGTCGTCCATCTTCATCTTTCAGGTTGTAACCTTCTGCTCGTTTATCTCTTTCACTTATTTTCCACAATTTGATAGTTTTATCTGACAAAAAACAGATAAGAAAATGGTTCAATTTAGAGGTGAAGAACAATCGTCTGACATAGATCAAAAGTAAAACTCTTACCGTTTGTCGAAAGTAGAAAGTGAGCAGCATTTTGTTGGGGTAGCCATCTTATTTTATTAATCTTTTCCTCGATTTCTAAACTTTTCAAATAGTCAAATTCTGGCTCGTGACTCTGAAAAGTGCTATAGACGTTGTACTCCCCGCGCAGGTGTGGACGATTCTTAGACTGAGAAACAAATATTGCAAACATAAGTCACAAGGTGCAAGTATTATCATTGCAACACAGAGTCAGCACATCACCTCTGACATAATACTCATCTGCACAGTCTGTGGTGAATCTTACCTCCTGTTCATGTTGAAATATCACTACTCTGCCTCCTTTATCTCCAGTTGCAAGTAGTTCCCCAGAATAGTTGAACTCGACTGTTGAGATTATGTCCGCTGAAAATGGACACAAATCAAGAGTGATTTAGACTCAGCTTTCACGATAATAGCTTTGTTGACAGCTAGGGTAAAGCTACTGTGTACTGAGTCGGGTGCCATTGGTGTTTTTCTGAACTGAAGCATCGGGTAAACTGCCAGCCAAACACGTACACCCATTCATGTATGAATGAATGAAAACAAGCATGATGTCACACGACAATTTATGGACGCAGCACATTGACGTCATGGACACGGTCGCTCCCCTTTAATAGCTTAGCCACCACCTAGCATACAGTTAGCTAACGACATACAGAGGAAAGGGCGTTTGTGCAACTGATCCACAAACAGACTCTCACCAATCGCGCCAGCTGTTTTATATTAACCCCCGTGCGACCATCTAGCTATCGTGCGTCTAATGTTAAGCCCCTAGAGCATCATCATCAGCCCATCTAGCTAGCTACCCACCGTTTTAGCCTGGCCGCCAAGCCAACGTTAGCAACATACCTTCCGCAACATCTTCATCTATCGCTCCTTTCACTTGTGAGAAACACCACTGAAAATCATTTCCTCCAGCAACTCCTGTAAAAAAGAACACATCGTTAGTTTGTATCCGCCTCGCGTTTCGCCTGGCGATAATAATGACCTGACAGTGACACAGTTTGACAACTAGCAACTTAGCTTGCCAGCGGCTAACGTTGGCTAGCTAACTTGCAGATTCAGGCCATCACACACTAAGTGAGGTGGGTCCTTTTCCTCCCTTTAAAAGTAGCTCACCTGCCATTGCTTCATGTAGCAGCTCTTGCAAGTACACAGCTTCCAATACCTAATCAACCAATGCGGCTTGCTCGGGGAAATAGATAGCATCCACAATCAGTGTGAAGACTCGGGTCCAGATCTGTCAAGACCACGGAAATTATCCGTGATTTTTTTTTCTTCCAAAATGGCGCACAGTACATGGAGAAATGACGTCATGCACACATGCCACATCCTGGCTCCATCCATCCTCCTGAGCATCATATTATTAGATGTGCCATTTAGTCTTCATTTTCTATGTATTCAACTTTGTTTCATCACATTAGATATTAACACCTGCCTATTAGCCTGTTAAAGCCAGTTCAGCTGTCCCCTGATGGTTGGGACAAATGTGCATATCAGGTTGCAGGTAATGTGATTGAACGGTGAAGCAAACTAAATCAAATAAAAGAAAATGGTCAGCATAAACATTTTTTATAGTCTTGTGTTCATAGGTCAGGCATGTTTCATGAATATCAATTGCATAATATGAGTAAAGCCAAAGTGACAAGTAAAACACACTAACTTCTATTTTAAATACTAAAAATATACTATTCATGATAAAACGTTTTAAAAATTTGTTTCGTTGTTGTTAGTTAATAAGTATGTCCTAACTCAAAAGTGGATGAAACCTTACAAGTACCCCAGCTTGTATTGTATGGTCAGTGGGTGACATCTAGTGGGGAAATGAAGAAAATCCAGTTCACTTATGTTAGGTATGTTGCACCCCCGATGGCAATAAACTGAATGTTCATACTTTTCAGTCCCTATTTCACAAACATTTACAGATGCCTTTTGTATTTTCTACTCCTTCAAGTCGTGAAGGACTGGTCTGTAAAACCTAATCAAAACAACATTTTGGTTTCTGAGTTGGAATTTTTGCCCTGTAAGAATAAAGAATGATTTGCTGAAAAGGACATAACTCTTACAGGCTCTATCTGGATTTATTTATTTATTTATTTTTTATTTAAAAAGCATGCTCATTATATGCTGTCAATCATTTATATTGTTTTCTTCAAATTGTGGATATTACATTTGGGAACAAACTTGTCAAATTCTGCTCAGAATCTGTACAAAACTATGCGATAAAAATTTAGCTCCATTTTTGTGAGCATGTGCTCGCAATCATGGTGCATATACAGGTGCATCTCAGAAAATTAGAATATCGTGAAAAAGTTCATTTATTTCAGTAATTCAACTTAAAAGGTTAAACTAACTACTGCAAAGTGAGATTTCAATGATTATTGTGTACAGCTTATGAAAACCCCAAATATTACATGAAATCAATAAAAAAGAAAAAAAGGATTTTAAATACAGAAATGTCAGCTCTCTGAAAAGTATAATCACGCATATGTACTCAGTACTTGGTTTGGGCCCCTTTGCATGAATTACTGCCTCAATGCGGCGTGGCATGGATGCTATCAGCCTGTGGCACTGCTGAGGTGTTATGGAAGACCAGGATGCTTCAATAGCGGCCTTCAGCTCTTCTGCATTGTTCGATCTCATGTCTTTCGTCTTTCTCTTGGCAAAGCCCCATAGATTCCCTATGGGGTTCAGGTCAGGCGAGTTTGCTGGCCAATCAAGCACAGTAATCCCATGGTCATTGAACCAGGTTTTGGTACTTTTGGCAGTGTGGGCAGGTGCCAAGTCCTGCTGGAAAATGAAGTCAGCATCTTCATAAAGCTCATCTGCTGAAGGAAGCATAAAGTGCTCTGAAATGTCCTGCTAGACGGCTGCACTGACTCTGGACTTAAGCACAGTGGACTAACACCAGCAGATGACATGGCTTCCCAAACAAACACAGACTGTGGAAACTTCTCACTGGACTTCAAGCATCTTTGATTGTGTGCCTCTCCATTCTTCCTCCAGACTCTGGGACCTTGGTTTCCAAAGGAGATGCAAAATTTGCTCTCATCAGAAAAGAGGACTTTGGACCACTGAGAAACAGACCAGTTATTTTTTTCCTTCAGCCCAGGTAAGACGCTTCTGATGTTGTTTGTTGTTCAGGAGCACCTTGACAAGCGGAATACGACATTTGAAGCCCATGTCCAGGACCCGTCTGTGTGTGGTGGCTCTTGATGCAGTAACTCCAGCCTCAGTCCACTCCTTGTGAAGCTCCCCCACACATTTGAATGGCCTTTTCCTGACAATCCTCTCCAGGCTACGGTCATGCCTGCTGCTTGTGCACCTTTTTCTTCCACACTTTTCCCTTCCACTTAACTTTCTATTAATGTGCCTTGATACAGCACTTTGAGAACATCCAACTTCTTTTGCAATTACCTTTTGAGGCTTTCCCTCCTTGTGGAGGGTGTCAATGATGGTTTTCTGCTCAACTGTCAGGTCAGCAGTCTTCCCCATGATTGTGAATTCCACTGAACCAGCCTGAGAGACCAATTAAAGGCTCAGGAACCCTTTGCAGGTGTTTTGGATTAATTAGCTGATTAGAGTGTGACACTTTGCGCCTACAATACTGAACCTTTTCACAATATTTTAATTTTCTGAGATTTTGAATTTGCTGTAATAAGCTGTAAGCCATAATCATTAAATTATATCAAATAAAGGCTTGAAATATCTCACTTTGCATATAATGAGTCTATATAATACATTAGTTTCACCTTTTAAGTTGAATTACTGAAGTAAATGAACTTTTGCACGATATTCTAATTTTTCGACTTTCACCTGTATGTATGTATATATATATATATATATATATATATATATATATATATATATATAAATAGATGTTAGAGCTGTGGTAGTTGTTTTTTATTTTGTTTGCTTATTTTTCTGTAAACAGCACTCTCTGAAGGGTTGAGGTTGTCAAGAATTGGGAGGAGAAGGATAGCCCAGAGGGCCTGATTGTGCAAAAAAAATTAAAAAATGGCAAATGCTGATGAAGTGTGAGAATATGTAATATCTGGGCCACATTTCAGTGGATAAAATAGAATAAACATAGATATCTTCTTTTTAGCACACCCGTTGATAGAAAACACACTAGTCTAATATATATTAATATACTAACTGTGCTGAAAATGAAAATGTGAAAATAAGGCCATCTGCCTAGTTGCTTATTCTTGTTTTACTCTTTATTGTAAAATACCATAGCTGAAAGTGGTCAATTACAAAATAATGCTTGTTTTTTAACCAGTATTACAGGTCACATGTTTTTTTTACGCTAGCTAATCACCTGCACTGATCTTTTGTTTGTTGTTTTGTTAATTCATTTATTTTACAGGGGCCATACAAAACACAACCATTGGACCAGAGTTAGCTATATACCTAATTTACATCTCTAGTCCCTGGACAGGAAGATAAAAATAATCCAGAACACATACAATAAGCCAAATGTGTAAACAGTACATCAGATGTATAAAAAAACATCATCAAATAATACATTATATTCTCCATGTTGGAAAACAGTCTGTTCCATACAATGGTTTAGATTAGTGATCACACAACTGGTTTATCTTTACCCATGTTTTAAGTGTTGTTTTAAAAATACTGAAGCTTTTCCATTCTCTGATCCAGAACTGATTCAGTTCCATTTATCTGCTGGTCTGATTGAAAATGCTGACTATCCAAAAGCAGTTTTCCTAAATTTAGCTGAGCTGTCGTCTCTGCCTGATGCCCTGGTCTCCCCAGCATTGTCCCTGCAGCATGACACAAATTGTTTAAGTGATGGTGGTGCAAGATCCATAATTAATTTACACAAGGCACATTTCTGCTAAACAAATCAAACTATCAAAGTTCAATAAATTGTACTTTTGAATGACGATACAAGGATGGTAGCTCCTTGGTTTTTTATCAAGATTGTTTGTAAAGAGTGTATAATGATTTTAGCGTAGTCAAACCAGCTTGTAGCACAGTAAGATGTGCGTGAAGATCACAGAGTGCAAAAAGAGCTTAGCAGCAACTAGAGGTAGTTGATGCCAAATATTGCTCAAAGCTTGATTTATACTCCTGTGTAGGGTCTACGTGTGCAGCTACGCCGTAGGCTAGGCACATAGCCAGGCATTTATACTTGTGCGTCCGTGTGTCCATCAATCTGCAATTACACCCCCAAACACTAGTCGGCAGTAGCGCTACAGCGTCCACTGTGTTGACTTTTGCAGGTGTTCTGCAAATTCTGCCTGCCTGCCTAGAATTGCATGCATCTCACGGCTGGTAACGCTCATTTAAGCTGGGAAAAAATGTGGGTGCAAATCTCGGCAGGTAGCCTACAACATCTGTCCTGCTGAATTATGCATCCATGTCTTTAGGTCCTTTTCAGACACTTTGCTGTGCTCATAGATCAAATGCGGTAATCACAACATCTTTTAGCTGAATCTCAATGAATGCTACTTCTACTAAGTGTAATAAAATATTAATGACTGTAAACGTTGAAAAAATATATACTTCGAATCATTTATCACAATTGATGAACCCAACTAAGGATATCACAGCGTTTAAATGCAGTATTTGGAGGTGCATGCAATTCTGGGCAGGCATGCAAAACTCGGCATAACACTGGCCGAGCAGGCTAACTTCCGGTTTAGGGCTCCGCTAACGTGAATTGGGGTAAAATTGTAAACGAGCGGCTGGTGTAGCCTTTTCAAATGTTATCGACCGAATGGATCACATTCTGATAGTGAAACAAGTCATTTCGCTCGGGTTGTGACGGTCGATCCACTGTGTTACAGCCCCTGTAAAAGTTACCACAAAGCATGGGACACTTCCTGTCGGCTCGGAGGCGTTGCGAGGCCAGTGCCTCTTTAAAGGGCTCTGTGTGAGGCTACCCAGCCGACCAATCACAGTGCTTACAATCCGCGTCGACTCGACGTGTAGTGATATTTTTGAGGAGGTGCGTGTCAGGCTACTGCGTAGGTGACGGCGTAGGGTAGGGGGCCGTGCCGAGGCTATGCCATTGATTCAATGCAGAAGTATAAATTGCACTTTAGGCTAGCTCTAACACTTCTGGAGACCTTTTTTTTTTATATACGTTTCTTAAAATTAAAGTTAGAATCAGAATTAATGATTTTGCCCAGATGCTTGAAGTGCTCAACAATATTTATTACCTCTCCTTTAACTAGGATGTCAGGTTGATGTGTGACATTTCTTTTTGTGGAAACTGTGAATATGAACTCTGGATAACCACTCCACAGTGATGGTATT